CCCAGTGGGTGATGGGATTGTAGATGTGCCCCCACACCCAGTGGGTGATGGGATTGTAGGTGTGCCCCCACACCCAGTGGGTGATGGGATTGTAGGTGTGCCACTACACCCATCGAGTAAAAAGAAGTTAAAGAAAAAACCAGTTCGAGGCTTCTTTCTCAAAAAGCATGCTCTCTGCTCCAGCTCTCTGCTCCAGTTTCATTCTGTTGCTGTGTTAAAACAGTCTGACTAGCTGGGCGGTGGTGGTGCACGCCTTTAATCCAGCACTTGGGAGGCAGAGGCTCTCTGTGAGTTCAAGGCCAGCCTGGTCTACATAGCAAGTTCCAAGACAGCCAGGACGGTTACACAAAGAAACCCTGTCTTGAAAAACCAAAAACCAAACCAAACCAAAACAAAACAAAACAAAAAACAAAACAACAACAACAAAAAAAAACTACTGTGACAAAAAGCAACTTGGGGAGGAAAGGATTGATCTGGTTTACACTTCCAGGTCACAATCCATTATTGAGGGAAGTCAGGGCAGGAACCATGGAGCAATACTGTCTTCTGGTTCAATCTCTGGTTTGTGCTTAGCTGACTTTTTTGTTTTTTTGTTTTGTTTTGTTTTTCGAGACAGGGTTTCTCTGTGTAGCTTTGCGCCTTTCCTGGAACTCACTTGGTAGCCCAGGCTGGCCTCGAACTCACAAAGATCCACTTGCCTCTGCCTCCTGAGTGCTGGGATTAAAGGCGTGCGCCAGGATCCCCCTGGAGCTGGAATTACAGGTAGCTGTGAGCAATCTGATGTAGGTGCTGGGACTTGAACTTAGGTCCTCTGGAAAACTAATACCTGTTTGTAACTGCTGAGTCATCTCTCCAATCCCTTAGCTAACTTTCTTATACAGCTCAGAACCACCTGTCCAGGAAATAGGACCACCCATGGTGGGCTAGGCCCTCTTAAGGAAATGGAACCACCCATGGAGGGCTAAGCCCTTTTACAGGAAATGAGACCACCCATGGTGGGTTAGGCCATTTTACAGGAAGAAAATGGCACCACCCATGGTCACCCTGTGAAGTGAATTTGAACCACCAGAACAGCCCCTCACAGAAATGCCCTTACACAAACCTGACAAGACACTCAATTAAGACTTCTTTTTCACATAATTGTAGGCTGTGCCGAGTTGATAGTTAATGCTAACTAGGACACTAATTCAAACACCTGGAAAACTCTGGCAAAGCCAGAGAATTATGTTCAAGTTTTCCCTTCACAGAAATGGAATGGAATCCATGCTTGTTTTTTATTTCATCAATCAATATTTATGGAAGGTTTACTGAGATCTGGGGCCTGTGTTGGAAGCTAAGAAATTAATGATTTAAAATCCCTTCCTAAGAAAATCTAAATTATACTAAAAAGGGCTAATATGTTAACAACATTGGCATAGCATTCTAAAAATGTCTTTCTTCATGGAACCACTTACTGGGTGTTTGATAGCCTTCCAGCTTTCTGCCTTTTGGGGTACTGACTTCCCAGTCTGCAAAATAAAATAATATATATAATACTTAATCTGAGCCTCTGGATAGATTCAAAGATACATGTACATTACCTGAAATAATATGAAGTATACACACATTTTCTAGGAAGAGATTTTTTCCAGACTCTATGCTGACTAAATCATAAAGGCTTTAGAAATGAATTTATAGCTGGGCAGTGGTGGTGCACACCTTTAATTACATCACTTGGGAGGTAGAGGCAGGCAGATCTCTGTGAGTTCGAGGCCAGCCTGGTCTACAGAGTGAGTTCTAAGACAGGCTCTAAAAGCTACACAGAGCAACTCGGTCTCAGGGGAAAAAAAAAGAATTTACTATGCTTCAATTCAATTTTGAATTCCCTCTCCTTTTTAACATTGCATGATTCACATAGACCTCAGAGGTCCCCCACTTCCATCTCCAACAGTCCACGATTCCACTGTGGATGGTAACGAGGTAGAGATTTAAATCCTATGATTCCAAGACAGCCCTTCCCAGGAGGAAAAGGTCTAAATTCTAAACACAGAACCTGTTCTCTTTGTGACTTACTCTTGCCAACTTCATTTTTCAGCCTTTCTTCAGATCCTACCCACTTCCCCATCTAGCCTGCAACTTGTAAGTTTTGGTTTTACTCACGGTAGGACTTTGTATAGGCAATGCCTTCTAGAAAAGTTCTTAGGGAACTACAAAAAAAGATTCTATTGCATTTTTTTTTTTTTTGGTTTTTCGATCTATTGTATTTTTAATATATGTTATTCTTTAATAATTTCATACATGCATACAATGTATTTTGATAATATTCATTGGATTCCTGCCAATAACTTCTTCCAGATCCACCTCCAATTTTTAAATTGTGTGTGTGTGTGTGTGTGTGTGTGTGTGTGTGTGAGAGAGAGAGAGAGAGAGAGAGAGAGAGAGAGAGAGAGAGAGAGACGGAGACGGAGACGGAGACGGAGACGGAGACGGAGACGGAGACGGAGACAGAGACAGAGACAAAGACAGAATGGAGGAGTTCAGGTACTGGCAGAGGCCAGAGACATTAAATCCCCTAGAAATGAAGTTACAGGTGGCTGTGAGCTACCCTACCTGGGTACTGAAAACTGAAAGGCGTTTGTACTCTTTCTTGGAGCTGGGGTGGGGACAGGGTTTCACTATGTAGCTCTGGCTGGCCTAGAACTCACTATGTAGACCATGCTAGTCTCAAACTCACTGAGCTCTGCCTGCCTGTGAAGTCCTGGAATTAAAGGACTGTGTTACCATACCAGCCAGAACATGCACTCTTTTTCCTTTTTCAAGACAGAGTTTCTCTGTGCAGTTCTGTCCTGGAACTCACTCCTTAGACCAGGTTGGCCTTGAACTCAGAGATGTGTCTACCTCTGCCTCTTGAGTGCTGGGATCATAGGTGTGCACCACCACCGCCTTGCCACAGCATTCTCTCTTAGCCAGCCATCTCTCTAGCTCCAGGGAACATATCATAGGGGGCCTCTGTCCCTTTCTGGGGTTCAGTTCCTTTTCTGGAAATTGGAGATACAAACCTTATTAGTGAGTAAGCTGTCAAGCAGAAGGTACTGTCTGCCAGAAACTGCCAGAGATTACACTTTTGCTAGCATCATCTCTGAATTTTCACAGAAACTTCCATGAGGTTAGTTCTCTTACATCTTGATTTTTTATTTTATAGATAAGAAAACTGTAGTTCAGAGGCTGTAGGCAAGGGACCTAATGAAAATGTGTCTCTGTGTGTGATGATGCACTCATGTGAGTAGACAGGTATGTGAGCAGGCCAGAGGAGGGTTTCTTACTCTATTGCTCTCCTTATTGCCTCGAGATAGGGCCTCAGATTGAACTTAGAAGCACTTAGGTTTTGGCTCGGCTGGCAAACCAGCTCTCAAGATCCACCTGCCTCTAGCCCCCAACACTAGGGATATAGGCAAGCTCAGTCATACCTGGTTCTTTTCATATGGGTTTTGAATTCAGGTACTCATGCTTTCAAAGCAAGCACCCTTACCAAATGAGCCATCTCCCTAGTTCTGAAAACTCTTTTTAAAGCCTTGTCTTTCCCAGGGCTTTATTCATTCCTCAACAACTGGGGGGTAGGTATTTTTACTGCTAGGGGTGCTAAAGCAAAGAAACCCTGCAAAGAGGATGCCGCCAGACAGCCTGACTCCAACACTGTAGACAGCAGCTGTTCAACAAAAATATACCACGAACTGTATGTATAATTTCAATTTTCACAGCAGCTGTATTTCAAAAGTAAAAAGACACAGGTAAAATTAAATACAATAACATAGTTTATTTCCCCCAATATATACAAAATAATACAACATGTGTTCCAACATGTAATAAATATAAAACCTTTTTTTGTTATTTTAGAACATCACTGTCTTCAATTTCATACACACATATAATGTATGATGATTACATTCCACCTTAGTTTTTTAAATGAACATAATATTTGCAATTGTAACCATATTTAATTCACAATTCAGTGGCATGAATTACATTCAAGATATTAATTACACTCATGATATTAATTACATTTGTGGTATTCACTGATTGCATTCGCAGTATTCATTCAATAACTATATTTATATTCATTAATTACATCAATTGTATTGATTTATTACATTCATGATATTATGTCCTGATACTACTGTCCATTTGTGGGGCTTTCCCATTACACAAAACAGAGATTCTGTACTTAGTAAATCATTGCTCTATATTTCTTTCTTCTCCATCTTGAGATAACATCTAATCTTTCTGTCTATGAATTTGTATATTCTATATATTTTATTTGTAAAAGAGTTTGTATAGAATTTGTAAATTCTATAGTATTTGTCTCTTTTTTTAAAATGTAAAAACATTTTATGTACAACTGCAGGAGAAATAATACACAGATAGCTTTAACATAAAAACAGGTTATAATTCAAAAGTCCAGGGTGAAGCCTTCTTTTCCTACACAGATGCACGAGTATTCTACACTATAATACATCTTAACGCGGGGTATTCACATGGACGCCATAATTACAGTTCACTTACTAATCCTAAAATTAAAAAGCAGTACCCACAGAACCACTTGTCTCTTGGTTTTCGAGGACAAGCAAAAATAATGACAATGAACCCTCGAGCATTTACTTTGTGCCAGGAAACATCTTAAGAACCTTGCCCAAATATTTTGTCAACCTCAAAGTAAGGTGAGTTCTATTGCACTCAAGCAGGCGTGAGGTTGTGTGTGTGTGTGTGTGTGTGTGTGTGTGTGTGTGTACTTAAAGAGTCTCAGCCTAGGGGTGGACTCTAAATCTAAGATTACAGATTTGAGAGGTCTTTCTTTTTCTTTCTTGTTTGGTTTTTCGAGACAGGGTTTCTCTGTATAGCCCTGGCTGTCCTGGAACACTCTTATGTACACCTGGCTGGCCTCGAACTGCGAGATCCTCCTGCCTCTGCCTCCTGAGTGCTGGGACCACGCCCAGCTGAGCGGTCTTTCTTACAGTAGTCGCAGGCCCTGTCCCGCTGTCCCACCCGGGTCATCCGCCAAGCTCCGACAAACCCTTGGCCAGCTCTGTCTCATTTACCCAGGACTGTCAACGCTACCCCCTGATCCTGGTCCAGCATCAGACCTAGCAGGCGCAGGTCACCTGCAAGCCGCGGCGGCCCAGGGTCGTCGCCTTTATCCTATCGTCCTCCTCCTCTCCTTCCTCTTCCCACTCCCATTTGGAATACACTTCCGACTCGGATTGCGACTCCGATTCCGACTCCAGGTCCGTCGTGTCCTCCTCCTTCTCGTCCTTCCTCTTGTGGTGCTCGAGGTGCTCCTCCGAGCCGCTGTACGAGCTCTCGGAAGAGCTGACATCTTGGTACCACAAGGTCTTTCCCCGATCAAACTTCACGTAACTGGTAGTGGGCGCGGCTTCCGGGCTCAGGCGCTTCAGGCTGCTCTTGAGGCTCGCGTAGTCGCCCATTTCCGGCCGCCGCGGAGCTGCGCAGGTGGAGGTAAGCTCGGCTCGCCCTCGCCCTCCCCGGAGCCCGCGTCCCGCTGGGGCAGCGCTGGCTCTGCTCTTCAGCCCATCCCACTTTCCACCCCGGTCTCCACGCAGACGCACAACCAGCCCGTAGCTGCGGGACAAAGGGTGACGACGCCGAGAGCCGTAGTCATGGCGGCGCCGGAGCCCAGCCTGGCCGCCCGGAGCCCCGCGGCGCCGCCGCCGGAGCAGCAGGAAGGAGCCGGCGACCGTGCCGACCCCGAGCCCGACTCCGTGAGCTCCGCGGCCCCGGAGCTCCCCGGCTCGGCCGCAGCTTTGGACGCGGCGCTGCAGGCCGAAGCCGCCCCGCGGCCTGGCGTCTCTCGGCCCGGCCCCGAGACGTTTCGCCAGCGCTTCCGGCAGTTCCGCTACCAGGACGCGGCGGGTCCTCGGGAAGCCTTCCGGCAGCTGCGGGAGCTGTCCCGCCAGTGGCTGCGGCCCGACATCCGCACCAAGGAGCAGATCGTGGAGATGCTGGTGCAGGAGCAGCTGCAGGCCATCCTGCCCGAGGCGGCCCGGGCCCGGCGACTGCGGCGCCGCGCGGACGTGCGCATCACTGGCTGAGCGGCGGAACTGGGGGGCTCCTTGGACTGATACCCTACCCCGAGTTAATGAAAAGTTGAATTTTGACAACTCCTGTGGTCTGGTGTGTCTTTCGTTCGTCATTTATTTATTGGGCTTATTTCCCGAGCTTGTTCCCCACCTTTCCAGTTGATAGAGGATTCTGGGATCGTGTAAGAGTAAAGCTTTTATTTTCTATTCCTAGATCACTGGGGATGCGCAGGACTTTGCCCTTAAGGAGGGAAATTTCTTCCTTCTCACCCGGTTGACTATCGCTAGGCCATCCCTCTACCTCATAGGTAGTTTCTCTGAACCGATCTGAGTTTTGTCTTGCAAAAGGCCATGTTGATGACGGTTGCAGTCGTCTAGTGTTCCACACTACCCTCTAGTATTCGAGCTTGAACCGTAAAATAAGTGGCCCTATTAAATGCTCAGCTCAGAATCGTGGTTCATGCGTTTAATCTCAGCACATGGGGGAGTAGGGGCGCTTGGGGCTGGGGCCAGCCTGGTCTACGTAGTGAATTCCAGCCAGGATTATGTAGAGAGACCGTCTAAAAAGACAAAAAAACTGGTCAAGCAACAGAACTGGTGTTATCAAGGAAAAATTAAATGAATCTTACAGCTTCACTTTCTGTTCCATGGCTTAAAGATCAGTAATTGCACTCCACACAGTAGACAATACATTTTCTTCCCAGTAATTTTGCTGGAGAAAACTTCTGCTGTGTGGCTTCTAACAGTTAACCTAGATTACTAATAAGGGAACTAGATGTTTGTGGGAAGGGTTTTTGTTTTTTTCTTTTTCTTCAGTTGAACTTTTTCTTGAGTTGATTTATACCATTTCCACTTTTGCCCCCTCCATGCCCTCACCCCCTCCTATTCATGACTTCTAACACTGTTACATAAAACAAAAGAAAAGGCTTGACGCCTGCCTCCCTGCCTTAACCTTTTGGTCAGGGTGGTACTGGCTTTGCAGGTCCAGGTGTTCATTAGAGAAGTGTTTTGCCTAAAGCTGTAATACAGGGTTCATGACCTTTAAGGTTTAAAACAGACCGGTGGCCATGACCAGAGTGTATACCATGAAAAGAGGGAGAGCTGACATCTCCACTTCCTCAATACTTCTGCCTGTTCCTCTCCTCTATTAGCTTCTCTTGAATTAGCTCCCTGGAATGAAGCACACTTGTGAGCAAAAACCTTCTCAGTCCCTAATGCTCCACTGCACAATGGTTTTTCATGGAATGAGCTTGTAATGTGTTGAGTAACATTACTTGAAGTCCTCATTTTAATGTATTCAGGGGGCTCCTGTTTTGAATACCTTCCTCTAGTCCTCAACTCTACCAAAGGAAGGAATTTCTCAAGGAATGGGAACAACCAGTTTTCCTTGCGGCTTCCCTTGGGGGCGTGTATAGGAAGCTCGTGTGTGTTCCGGAGCAGTGGATGAATCTCAGTGTAGGGGAGGCAGGGCCCATTCTTGCATTGCTTCCAGCAACCAAAACTAGTCAACCTGCAGCTTCCACTACTATGCACGAGCCAGACTTGGGTAGAAGCTGGGGTGAGCATCTAGCTTGGGATGCTCTGAAAGCATTTTGTTAGGTTTTCATGGAATTGCTTGACAGTCTCCTGTATGAGACTGTCATAGAGCAGGCATGTTATAAAAGGCAGTGATTATATACATATATATGCATACATACATACATACACACACACACACACACACACACACACACACACACACACACACATATATAGTTTTGTTTGGTGGGGGTGCAGGGAAAGGTAGCTGTCTGGTCCCTGGTACTCCGGTGGGTAGGGCCTAGGGGCTAGAGACCTGATTGGCTGGTCCGGAGATGGGAGCTTAGCTGTTCCCAGTCTGTGTAGGGTAGGCTTATGATTCTGGTGATCTGGTTCGGTGGCTGGGCGGCGCCTTCTTTTGTGTTCTCAGGTCCCGTTTTGCTCATTCATCAACTCCTCAGCTGATCTTGTTTCCTCAGACTGCAGACTGTAGGATTCTGAATCCTCTCCCGAATGGATCTCAGCTGAGCAGGTTGTTTAGTAGGGCAATCTCACCTCCAAGTTGTTGGGTTTCGCAGGATCGGCAGCTGGGCCCTGATTATATATATTTTAAAAGTAGGGTGAAGCATTTGATTCTTGCTGGTGGGTTATGGTGGTGCACTCAGGAGACCAAGGCAGGTTGAATGCAAGTCTGAAGCCCAACTTTGGGCTAGATGACAAGCCCAAGGCCAGCCTGGACTACACAGCAAGACTGTCTAAAAAAAACTGGGCGTGGTGGCACAGGACTTTAATCCTAGCACTTGAGGCAGAAATGGGATTTCTGGGAGTTCTAGGCCAGTCAGCTATATAGTAAGACCTTGCCTCCAAACTAAACAAACAAAACTCACAACCTTTTATACTCCAGTAATATGTGACTGACACATAGTAACAAGAACCTGTTTTATTTTTTCCAGATACAGAGGTTTGCATGTTTTGCAAATATTGCTTGAGAGCAACACTCCTATGTACAGTGCCTTCTAATAGCTCGTAAACACAGATACGTATCCACAGTGCAATTGGCTCAGCCAGGATCCACCTTGCAAACATACTTAAACAAATGACTGATCAATGGCGACTTTCTGTAGGTGGACAGTTTTCTCAACAGACAGAACGTAGCGCATGTCTCTCTAAACGGTATCTGCATTGTTTGCTCCACCTCAGGGGTTAATTCATTGTGACCCAGGAACTGGGAGTGGAGCCCCTCAACATGGCTTTAAGTTAGGGAAGAACTGAGGTTATGAGAACATGGGGAATCTGCTTTGCTTCCCTAAGAACAAAAGTCACAATGAAACCAGATCACTTCCTTTCACAATACCTAAATGATGAAGCCAGCAATGACCACCTGGCAAAATTAGGATCAGTTTCTGCTTCCATCTTTGAACAAGACACAAAATTGACTGTTTTCAAAGTTATAGCTTCCCCAGATGTGACACTCAAGAGCAGCTAAATAAAAGAAAAAAAACTTTAAAAACCTTTATTACATTTGTTTATTGTGTGTATGTGTGTCAGAGGACAACTTCAAGGTGTCAATTCTCTACTCTGTGGGTCCTGGGGTCAAACTCCAGTCAGCAGGCACCTTTACCAACTGAGCCATCTCTCTGGCCCTCACATCAGTATCAATGAAATAATCATCATACCTCACACAGTGGTAGCAATAGACAATTATCTTGGTTTGTCCCCTTTCATCATCCAGTTCTCAAGATGCAGCTATCTGATAAATTACCCTGAACACGGATGTTACATGGACTCCTGGAGCATTTCTTCCCACAACAGAAACATGTTAGCAGTGGGAAGCAGCCTTTTGTAAGGAACTGTGTGGCTTCAGTATGTGTCACACACTCCCTAAGCTATATTAGGTCAACTCATGCTTGCCCTGCAGTTCATTTTATAGCAGATGGTAAACAAATCACTAGACTGGGCATTCATTCCCTGAAACTTCTCTGTACACCGGCCTGAATTCATGGCCACAATGACCTGTTACGCCTGAAGCTTAACCATTCCCAAGGCAGCTGGAGATGCTGCTGTTGCTAGCTCCTGACACTGGCTCCTTGATGTTTACACAGTAAATATTTGCCACCTGAAACATTACAGATTCCAAACTCATGATGAACCTGTGGGTGTTGATGGATAAATGTACTTCGATATTTGCCTTTAGTGATGCAAAACCTGGTAAAATGAAGTCCTCAAAGCTTGGAGCCTTTTAAACTTTGCCTAGTAAGGTAAAACAAAACAATATAGCAATTACACGTGGAAACAGAACCTGCGAAGTAACACAAATATTCTCTCCGAAGGTACACCTGGACCTTAAGCAGCAGCATCACCTTGATCTCACAAGTAATACCAACAGTTAATTGGAAGTGTTAAAGTGCATCAGCAACCCTGAAGACGCCAGTTCCCATAGTAGCCTCCAGAGGAGGAAAGCGACACACAGACTCAAGTTGCTGATGACGATACAGAATAAGGTAATTCCCATGTTCTTTGTAACAAATACAGTCAAAGTCCAAAATCTTGGGAAACTTTTTTTTAACTTTAAATAGAAGTGGGAAGTTGTTGAAATTAATAAGTGGGTAGAAAATGCTGTCCTTTGGGTTCCAGACCCTGCCTGCTTCCTTCTGGAATTCCTTGTAGATTTTCATTACAGCAAGATTCTAGTTCCCCTTCAGCAGTTTCAGCTTGGCTGCCAAAGCCATGGCCCAGACGACTCTGGGGTAAAAAAAACATAAAACCTTATCCCCCGTACCGTGAAATCATGCAAGAGATGTGGCGAGAAAATGAAGTCCTGGGAGCAGTGCCGTCAAGGCCCCTGCTCCTCCTTCCCAAACTGCACGGCACAGTGAAGTCCCAACATTCCAGTGAAGCTGAAAGAGAAAATGGTGCCTGCTGCCATGTACCATGCCAGGCAGAGAAACCAGAGGGGTTGGCACATGCCTCAACCTGACCCAAAAGTCATTCCAATAAGCTGCAAATTGAATTTACAACGGTTTCCGACTAGATTTTTTTTTTTTTTTTGGCTCTCATCCCATTTATCACCAGTGGCACGATTCCAAGTGAGGATGTGCAAAGAGTCGCTTTGTTCAACAATGTGCACAGAAGGGGGCTCTGACGATGCGCTGCCTTCATGGTCGGCTTCCAGAGCAAGAGTGCTCTGTCCTCCAGCAGCCAAAATGGTCTCTTTGTCCCAGTGTCCATCACACTCCTGGCCAAATCCCTGAAGTCAGTCAGTGTCCCGTGCATTCAGCATGCTAAGTTTATTTACTTAAATACGCGAAGCTCCCCCCAGCAGACATGCCAGGATTGTGCTCCAATTGTCTTGGGTGCCCAATTTCATGTCGAGCAGCAGAGGGCAATCTGCTGCACCTTGCCCAGGTCAGTCAGCAGCTGCTTGATGCAATGCTTGAGCTGTGGAAGCCTGGCCAGTGGCTCTGGGGGCTCCAGTTCCCCAGTGTAGTCCAGCCAGCTCTCCAGTACTGCAGGGACAAGAGAGAGAAGATCCAGTGAGTACTTAGAACTTGACTTACAAAAAACTTCAACACACGGACACAAGGCCATTTCAATCTAGGGTGCCTCAATATTAGCACCCCACAAAGCATCGCTCCAGGGCACAAGG